CGTTGATAGTTGAGATTCTTGAAGCCGAAAGATTTGCAGATATAAACTTTTGGATTTCTTGAAATTCATAAACAATGAATGAGCAGTGTTGGAGATTGATTGATTGATTGATGTTCTTTTGGTGTGTACAATCTTTTACAGAGGATAGCTGTCTGGCTTTTGAGTACCGGTTCTGCGCCGATTAAAATGAATGATACGAGTCGTGCTAAGATCGTCAAATGCAAGGAGTCTTTGTGGAAACTCTTGTATTATGCTAGTTGTGACATATTCGTTCTCAATATCCTTTACAACGAGCCCTGGGCCAGAGATATAAAACTCTACTTTGACGGTTGGCCAAATCAAGAGTTGAAGTGAGTAATCGATATCCGCATTTCATTTTCTGTACTTTGTCACTTTTGCTACTTGCCGTGATGTATTTCTTGATTTAGATGTATGCAATGTGGCCGTGGAACTCATTTAGTTCCCTGGACATGCGAAGAATCTTATTTATTCGGTTTTTTTTTTGTGTGTGTAGGCTTTCGGTAAAGCTTTACTATATGTGCCAATGCGGGTTCTATGTCTTTGCTGTTGCTGCGTTGCTTGCGTGGGAGACCAGAAGAAAGGATTTTGCTGTTATGATGTCTCACCATGTAATTACAATCCTCCTGATTAGCTACTCCTACTTAACGAGGTAATTTTGCGTTGATTCATCTATTTGCTGTAGTAGCACATAGAATTTGAAAGGATCTGCTAAGTTAACAAATCCTTAGTATAAGACCTTTTACTCAATCTAATTCAGCAGTTGTTTTCTTCTAATGCTCGTTATGTACCTGTCTGACAAAGGTTCGACTTTTGACTGCGATGTTGATTTTTAGTGAGCTGTAGAGAAAGCAACATAGAAAGGTCATAGAAAAGTGTTACTCATCAATAATTCAGCATTTATTTCCTTCTGCAGTTTTTTCCGAATTGGAGCAATCATCCTAGCCCTTCATGATGCAAGTGACGTGTTTATGGAAACCGCTAAAATTTTCAAGTACTCTGAAAAAGAATTCGGAGCAAGTGTGTGTTTTGCACTATTTGCTATCTCTTGGCTATTGCTAAGGTTGATATACTTCCCATTTTGGATCATCAGGGCCACAAGGTACACACACTTTCATGTAAACACTTACTGGAGAATGAATATCTCCACTTATTGTCAATGCTTTTAGCTGACATTTACTCTTTTGTTTTGTTATAGCATTGAGCTGCTGGGTTATTTGGATATGACATCAACTGAAGGCACCTTTATGTACTATTCCTTCAACACAATGTTAATGACGCTTCTTGTTTTCCACATATATTGGTGGTATCTCATTTGCGCCATGATCGTAAGACTACTTAAAAACAGAGGAAAAGTGGGAGAAGACATAAGATCTGGTAAGGCTTTTGTATTTTTGTTTAAACTCGGTTTTGAATAGAACTGTTAATATATTATTTTAATACGTCTTCACGAATTTGGGAGCCGCAAACTATTATGTTCGTCATTGTTGTATGCTTCTGTTGGCTGTGTAGTGTGGATCCATGAAAGTTTTTGAGTAGCCATTTGTTTTGTAAAATGGCAGATTCAGAGGATGATGATTAGGCTCGCAAGCATAACGGATACGGAACATGTTTCCACTTCTCCAACCAAACCCTTTTAGCTGCTGAAGAAATTGTTGTCAACTTCATTTACCTTACTGATTAGAGTTGGAGGTTAAAAAGAAAGAAGAAAGGTTATAG